AATTCGGCTGAAAATTATCGCTGATTTCGATATGTTTACTTGTTACGGGAACTAAACATATCATAACTGATACGATAGTGAAAATAAATTTACATTCCATTTTTTATTACGGTTTCACCTTTAGACATATAACTGATTGCGTTTCTAATATTAAAATGACAAGTATTCCCGGAAGAGAATAATTTCGATTTATTGAAAATAAAAATAATTTTACGCTTCAATTAGCAATGAGCATATCGAGAATAAAATCAATATAACAATTTTGCTTATTGAAATCAGTTTTATACATTCAAACAAAATTTCTTAAACATATGCGTTTCGAATATATTACAGAAGTTTTAGAGAAGCTCGTATTGAAGGAAGTCTTCTGAGTGCATATATGGTTATTGAAATTAGACAGAAACACAGTATTTTTATTACTTTTACGTTTTTCCAAACATTTACTTCTATTTTATTTTATGAGTTGTCGTTTAAATTATAATTAGGTTATATCAGACGCTATCCTAACTTCTATCCTTTCCTTGTAAGAAAAGGGCGGAAAGGAACTAAAATTAGGCCTCCGACACGCACACACAGCAAGCGATTCGCGGAAGTACATCAATTTCACGTGTGTCTTCTGTGTGGTCGTGGTATTCCGTGGTAAAGAGGCCTCTACCTAAAAATAATAGATACACAACACAATTTAAGGTTGCAGTAAAGGATCGGTAAATGAGGGGAAATATCAATGTGACTTCAACTGCATTTGTGGACCCACCGCAGTTAAGTGCGAGTTATCACGAACTGCTATAAAAATTGAGTCTTGTTTTATTCATAAACAACAAGACAATGTTTATTTCAATATTTAAATTAAAATATTCTTCTCATGTAATTCCTTACATTTTCCTTCTAGAAGGTATGGTTGACATGTAAAATATTTTAATTGAAGGAAACTTATTTTGTAACTATATTTTCATCTGACCTTACAAAAAGAAATTCTTTAACAAAATTGAAAATACAACTTAGGACTATTTTTTAACAAAGTACGGTAGTAAGTTAGTACTATGGCAAGTGAAAATTCTGGCACGGAAAATATAAAAATGCACTTTTTGTCCGAATAAAATGTTTTACACTTGAGTTCAAAATCACGTTCAAATCCGCATTAATAATTATTCTTTGACCGGAACACATTTTCCATCGACTTTAACATAACCCGTAGGACAGTTATCTCCTACAAACGACGATCTATCTTCGAGGCTCACATTTGTACTGTTAGCATCCGTCTTTTGATTTGTTTTCGGATTTTCCGTCGGCTTCTGTACCGGGTCTACTGGCAATGTCACTGAAGTGTTCACCGGTTCAATTGTATTTCTTTCAACTTGCTTCATTTCTTCGTCGTTTTTAAACGTTTCGTTTTCATTTAAGGTGTTATTCTGCATATTTGATGAATTAATATTTGTGAATGTCTTATTACCAAGTCTCGGTTGGCTTATGGTTATTAATCGAGACGGGAAAATCCTTGGCGATTTCCGATCTTGATTCCGGTTTGCGGGCAGCGAGTTGTGGTCTGGTATTATATCTTGTGGTCGGATTGGAATCGAAGGTCGTGGGTGCACTGATACTTGTTCACTATGAGTGTTATAATTTATATCTTGTGTAAGCACTGTTTCACTGGAATCGTTCACAGATGTAGTAAGGGTACGCGACACGACGATATCTAGACTGCTTCTGTGGCTAGGTAATAATAAACACAAGAATATAAGGGCATGTAATCTATGCATGCTCGTAGGATTTCCTTAACGCTTGTTTAAAAATGCTGAGTCATCGGAAAAATGTAACTTTACTACGTAATAAATGAATAAGAAGATAAAAATGTGCTGTTCAGTAAACAGGTACAGGCTTAATAATGAATTGTTGCACTGAGACTGAGTTAACTTCACGCTTTTTGCACTTAAGGTCAACAATGAAACGTTATTGTTACTAATGATGGTTTCGAAACTACAATACTAGGAAGTGTCGCAGCAATTATTACTATTCAAACTAAGTGAATGTTACCAACGAAAAAAAAAACAACGTTGTCTAAACCAAAACATCCACCCAAGTGAATAATTTTTATTTAATTATGTTGTTTCCTCTTAAAGCATCTTTGTATTTTGTTTTTAATGGCTAGTATATTCTGTAAAAATCTTGTCTTGTAAGATTATAGCTGGCATCATTCACCTTGTGGCACACGGTATAAAACCATAAAAATTCTGTTCACATAGTAGGTACTGCATAAAATCCACGTGACTTGATTAATCTATCATAAGAATATGTTCATTTATCCTTCATAAATAAATGTACATTTTAACTGCGTCGCAGATATTCCTAGACATGCAATACAGGATAAAGTTCTTGTACTAAAAAAGGCTTGTTTTTGAAATCAAAATGTAAGTAGGTAGTGATTTTGACAAAAAGTTGATGGAACCGATTAATGGCCGATTTCCCAGATACGTTAAACTGTTCGTTAGTGTTTTTTTTTTCGAAAAATTTATGAAATGTGTTTCCGAACTACGTAACTTGAGTTTAACTCTGTTGAAACGTAGGTCAACCTAAAACTAATGAATCACTACGTAATGACAAAATAAGTGAAAACATCAGAAATCTAGCATTAATGATTGGGCTAGCGAGTACATACTATCCATCAATGTTGACAGTTTCGAGGTACACTTTACTAAGAAACTATTAATCTTTGAAATAGTGCGTTGGTATAATTATAAGGTTATTTCCATATATCTTTATTTCTTATTCTCTATATAATACATTTTACAAGATTTATAAAAAAATAAAATGAAATATATTATACAAAAAATAGAGCACCACCGGCTGCGAAATCCGATGACTCAAGCAACCAGTGGTCAGGGCTGCAGAGACAGGAACCTCCTCACTATTCGTGCTGTTTCTAAAATAACAGCCTTTTGAATCGGGCCCTTAATCCAACTGTCTAGCGAGAGCTTCTTAAGGTGTTGGTTGAAGCTAAGCTAATATTTAGTATAAGCTAAGCTACTAAGCTTATACTAATTATAAGTATTAGTATTTGGTATAATAATAATTATAAGTAATTCTAAGAAGAAAGGAAATGATTTATTTGTATGTGCTTAAATGAAAAATATCTTATGACGCAAATACAAGAGGGAAAACAATAACGACGATGTGTGGTCAAAATAGTTTGATGTCATACGAAACAATTTAAACCACAATTAGGAAGTCTTCCGAAATAAGATTATTTGTCGCTTTTATCCATAACATATTTATTTATACTACAAACACAATTATTAAGAATAAAATTTCATTTAACTTGTAACTAGCAAAGTGCAAAAACGACGAAACGTGATTTGATTTAGAGATTCAATTGATAAGTTTTAATAAATCTTTGTTTATGATGAGGAAAGTCAAAGTTATTGAAGGTATATAATCCGTAAAGTATTTTTATATATGTACATCTTCTTACAGCTGTGTACCTAGATCCTTGAAAGATGAAAATTATATATGATAATTTCTGTGAATATGACCGTATTAATGATAGCTACTCTCCTCCGCAAGATCTAGCCTAGATTATCGTCTGCGCACGTGCATGTTCGGTTCCTGTAATATTATATAACTTCTTAAAAACGGCAAGCTCTTGTGGCTATTGAATAGTGGTAGAGCATATAACAAGATCTGTAGCGGGAATGGAATGCTCTACCGGTGTATACAATTTTAGTCCCCTTCCCCTTTGTCACCTCACCTGTTTCTATTATAGTAATGTTACGTTATACTGTTTAAATTTTACCTTCGCAAGATATGTTGCAAGTATGTTAGGAGAAAAACAAAGTACTTGTAGTAGTTAATCAAATAATGACATATTTAAATAAATTATTTATTTAACAGCGTCTCAAGTAAATATTACGTTAGTAAAAAGAAGCTAACTAACCAGTTGTGTGTTTAACTTTAATTTCAAGAGTCTAAACTCGACGATCATTCTTAGTTCATTACAAATTTATGCATTGTCACTGGCCGGCATATAAGTTTAATCTGGAGTCGATTTTCGACATAATTTTAAACTAAATACCTTTAGGTGTTACACTATATTAAGGTCGGAAAGATACATTCCAGTAGCTGGCGCACTTGCATATCAGGTAACAAGAACGCGTGTGTGAACGCTTACTGTCATGTCAGGTACTGGCTCGCTAACACCGTACTTATATGATTTTGTGACAGCTAAGTTGGAGAAAAGTCGAGGGGGTATACGAACCTTGACACCTTTTGGTTTCTTACGATTTCGTAAGCATTTACTGGCATGTGCAAACGTATTGTGCCAGTAACCGACATGTCAGTTACTACGCAGTTTTACTTGAATATGCATTTTTGCCCTAAGGCCGGATATGAATTCGCTGACCTTTACCAAGCGTAAATATCTCAAGATCGTTTTATTGACGTATCTGAGGAATTACCTATTAATGGGTTTTTTGATAAGGTTAATATGACGACTTCTAGATAACATTAAATTGCATTTAATTATGATTCTAATTATTATTGGAGTAGTCCTCTAGTATCTTCGTATGTATTTGCGTTAAAAATGGTTCCCCGAAATACGGAAAACTACTGTATTTGTACACATACCGTATTTTATTCTTTTGATAAAAAGTATTCTTATGTCCTTATTTCATTACGATTAGGAAATTCCACAGATTCATTTAATTCAAATTAACAACACAGTAAATGGCCTTCCAAATGTATTTACATTTAATGTCTAGAATTATCTTAAAAACGAGTTGATTTTCCTTGTATCTTAAACGTTCCTTAGGTGAATGTCCGTTTGCCTCGTGTAACAATACAAATTTTACATGAAGTTTAAGAGAGCAGAAAAAAGATTGAGGAAGAATGGTTAATGTCCCACCGCATTATGATGAACGATGTCACGTAAACCCTTAATAACAAACCTTGTTATCTCCGAGAGTGATTTGGCAAATCTAAACTATACTAATGGAAGAAAGTAAAAAACATTAAAAAGAAGCTAAGATTTAATTAACGTTTAATCTTTAAATCTAATATCTATAGCAAAGTCTTCTTCCTCTGCAGGTGGTTTCTTATCTGTTTCTCTTTTCGGCGCTGTGATGTTGGCGGCCGCCTCCCCTGTGTATATGTAATCACCTAGGGGAATGAATATAGGTGCGTCTTCTTTTGGTTTTTCAGTAGTTGTCCCCTCCCCGGTTTGTTTATCTGTTTCTGTCACCAATATTGTAGACGTTGGAAATTCCGGTTGAGGTGATGTTGGTACTGCACCTTGGTTGTTATCTCCATATATAGTACCGAATACATTATTGGGATTTCCGTTAACTGGTTTATTTCCATTAATTAAGTTATCTTGAGTATTCAAGTTGTTGTTTCCGTTCGGATTGTTAAGACCATTATTTGGATTTACGTTAACAGGCTTATTACCGTAGTTTGGTCGATTTTGATTGTTATTATTGTATCCATTATTAGGTTGATTTTGATAGTTATTGTAACCTTGATTTTGTTGGTTGGGATACGCTTGGTTGTAACCGTTATTATTGTTATACCCTTGGTCATTATTCTGGTGGTTAGGGTACCTTTGATTTTCATTGCTGTATTGATTGTTTACATTAATTTCGTTTTGATTTGGATTATTGTAATTGGGATTATATCCATTTTGATTTTGATCGTAAGGTCTGTTATTGTAATTCTGTTGCTGATATCCATGTTGATGTGGTCTTTGTCCATGAGGTCTGTGGCCATGCGGTCTTTGTCCATAGTTATTATTGGGTGGATCATATTCGTTTGGTGATCCATAGTTGTTACCTTGGGGTGGACCAAATTCGTTAGGTGGTCCATAGTTGTTATTTTGAGGTGGCCCAAACTCGTTTGGAGGTTGACGGAATTCGTTTGGTGGTCCATGATTGTTGTGATGGGGTGGTCCGAATTCATTTGGTGGTCTTTGCGGTGGTCCGTATCCATAGCCAGGTCTTTGTTCATTATAACCTAGATGGCTTTCAAAATTTAAATTTATACCTTTGCTAATCGTGCCTAATACGGCTCCGGCGATACCGTGAACTTGTTCATGTGCATTAGACAGAATCCCACCTAGGAGAGACAAACCACACTCACATTGTAATGCTGTTGCTAATAAAACTAAAACACTGACTTTGTACTCCATTTTCGTAAACTCACAGAATTAAATATAATCAAATTTTAACGCATAACTTAATCACTGTTTATCTCGTAGCTCCACGCAACCAACTGAGACGGCCATGTTTATATTTCGAGTGGTATTTTATGTGAAAAACCAGTTTGATCGTTTGATTCATCGTCTAAGAGTTTATTTGATAGTATATTATCTCCGGTATAATGTCCTGTTGCCCTCGGAGAAAGGAATAAATCATAGTAACGCTGCCAGTGCATGACTAATGAAAAATAAAACAAAACCTAATAGATCCGTTTTAAGTTTATTTTAGAATAAAAACATTGAAACATATAAACATTATCTTGCGTAAATAAGACAGCTCAATCCAAGTGATGTTGCTTGTTAAAACATCATAACACCAATTAATTTAATTGCTGCGGACGTCTATGCCATTGTAATCTCGCATGTATTTTTCCTCATCACTCGGAAACGTTAAAGGAGCATCTTCGTTTGTATTCTCTTTATTGACGTCAGTAACCGGATTGTACGGTAGCTGCGTAGTGCGGACATTTTGCGAAACAATTTCGTAATAATCTTGAGGTTGTCCGGATTCAATACGGCGACCCGTCGGTCCTAGGAACGAAAATAAAAATATCGGACCATCTTTATTCGCCTTATTACCTTGAAGATAGTTTTTATAGCGTTGCAGTAAGCGGTATTTGTTCAGCGGGGTCAGATGGGATTTATAAGCGTTAAATCTGTTGCCGAGACGCGAGTACGGAGGAAAGATTAATGCAGATTTCGTCGGATATATTGTGGGCGGATGACCGTATAATTCCCCCAAGAATGTTAAGCACAGAAAAGTTAAAGTTAAAAACTTCGCGTTCATGACTTAACCAGCTTACACTAATAACTGAAACTTGATTAGAACTGAGTCGAATCGTCTCCGACTTCTTCATATATCTCTAAAAATTAATGGATAATTAATAACAAGACCCATTAAGGGATTGCGTAATTGCGGAGCTTGTTTAAAAAATACAATATCTATACGTTTTATAGTTTGTCTAAATAAGATAGATTAGTATTATTAATGACGCATATAAAGTATCGAATTCAATTTGTATGAATGCAAATGACGTACTTAATAGACAGGTATCGTAGTGACGAAACAAACACGCATAGCGAACAATTTTGAACTATCGATATTCGGTTTTAATAATTATCCAACTATTAACCATCCAGTAAATTAGTAATTCCAAGCATTAACTAATTTACAGGACAATTCTAGTATTGATTATAGTGTAGAGAATTTAGCGATGACAGAAATAATATCGAAATCCAATTCGATTACGTACGGCTGTAGTAGTAATAAACATTTATTTACTCTCATTATTTGTCATGGTCCTTATTAATTTGAGAAAACAGCGTTTGTTTTAATTCATGAGTTATAACTATGAATCTATTGATTCCAACTTCTGTAAGAATAAAAATCTAAAATCGATAAGATTCATTCAATTTGAAATGAATTGTCAAACTAATCTATCTTATTTAGGCAAACTATAAATGATACATATACATCGTACAAAGTTCAATATTTATCATTTAACAAAACTGTAAACTAGAGATGGCGAACCAATAGCTCATTAATGGTATACGATAAAATATTGTGGTCACACCATACATCAAAATTCATTATGCACTACGAAATAAGTAAGTATTATCTGAGAATTGAATCTGAAGAGACACAAATCATTATTTTAATAAATAGTAATAACAATAAATAAATGAACGCATAGGTTCGCCACACCAACTGTATCGTAAATATAAATAGAACATAGCTAATTGTTTTAATAATATTTATATTATGAATCCATTAGTTAATAATTACACTATGAAGCATAAAACTTTTTATTTCGTGTTGACTTCAAATCCAAACCGAGGCGTAAGATTTGTTTATTTCTATTTTATAAAGCGCCATCTTTCAACAGTCGGTTTAACTAAAACACCTCACAACAAAAAGGCTTATTACCATGATAAATATAAATAAAATAAAAGTTTGTCTTAATAAAAATTGAAATTTATGTTTAAACTTATATAAATGTAGTTGAATTTTATATTAAATTAAAACATCAGAGAATAAAAGGTGTTATTAGAAATGCCAACACTTTGAATATTTGCTAGTTTACTTATTTGTTAACAGATGTCGTTGACGGCACTATAACTAGTAGTTCCTTACTATATTTGTTAACATATGAACGAAACAAATGACAACAAGTCTTAAAATCTTAAAAATTGTGATTTGAGATTGTGTATTACTTTTTACATTTAAGTCATATCTTTCTAAATACAGAAAAGTCACTAATTACTCTTGAAACATTCTTCAGAGCACTTCGTTGAAATATTTTATGTGAGCAATTGTAACATCTTGCAAAAAAATAATTATTCAAGTTGGTATGTCGAATTCATAACTGCAGTATGAATTTGACATAATTATATAAATTATGTATAATTATTTTCCTTATCGCGGTGCAACCTTTACAATCTTATAACCAGTTTCACATGCTTAGGAATGAAAAAAAATTAGCAGAATTTACAGAAGCATCAGTTGGCTGCGCGTCTCCGCAAGATACTGGCTGTAACTATTTTTAAATTGAACACCGGACAGAAAAATGGAAATAAAAGTGGTAACTCTCGTTTTACTAGCGTTAACGACCCAGTGTCAAGGACAATTTGGATCTATAGGCAATTTTCTATCCAACACATTTAATGAAATCAATAACAAAGTGAAAGAAGTGGCCGGTGTGATAATTGGAGGTATATCCAGTACACTTCAACTCAACTCTGAGGAAGATAAGAGGCCATCTAGTGACGCGACATCAGTAGCACCAGAAACTACTTCAACATCTACTGCAGGTGACTTTAATGGACAGAAGATTGAAATCAAAGATGTCAAGGTCACCGATAAGCCAGTTGATGTTAGACCAACGTTTGTACCACTCACTTCGACAACAGAAGAAGATTTCCCCATCGATGTAAGATTCCAAAGCTAATGCTAAGAACAAGTCAAGTTAGATGAATGTTCGTATTTAGTTATAATGTAGGAAAGAATTGTTTTTCATGATGATGTATTTGCGTTGCTAATAAAAAAAGTATTTAAAACAAAATCTATCTTTCTTTTCGCAAGTCGCGTTCGTTCGAGGTTATTTATGATGTATCTAGTTAGCTAATTAAAAATATGATTGGTATGGCGTTTTCGGTCTTATTAAACATCACTTAGGATTGTGTTTTCAGTGTATTACAGTATGACCTATGGCGACTTTTTCACTTAATCCGAATGGACGAAAAGACGAAATATTTATTATCAATGACTTTATTTTTTTAAGGAGTAAATGTACTATCTTGTATTTATTCGTATAAGATCTGTTTTTACTTTTGTACATATTACTAGCTTTTGCCCGCACTTTACTTTCGACTTAAATTCCTTGTGAAATTAAAAAAAGTACGCCTTAGATAATAGAAAATAAAGTCTTTACTTTTGATCGTGCTTTTATTTGTTAATATATACGAGTAAATACATAGTTACCAAAAATACGATGTTTTTATACCATTTATGTTTTATGATTATACGTAATATTAAGAAACAATTTGTTTTTTTATAATATAATGTGGCAAACGAGCAAGCGGCCACCTGAATCCACCGAAATGGAAAGCGACCGCTGCCCATAAACATCCACATTTGCAGATGCGTTGCCTACCATTAATCGAGGGAGGAGGAGACGCACATAAAGAGGACATTTCCCCTTTGTATGCGTCTCCTTCACCGTCAAATCCACTTTTTCTTCCCATCCTTTCCTCATAAGAAAAAAGTGGAAAGGGAAAGGGACTAAAATTAAGCACCACACTTGTCAGAGGAAACGCGGAATGCTTCCACTTCACGCCTGTTTTTTGTGTGGTCATGGTATTACACCGGGCGAGCCGGGTCATTCGTGCGAAGATGTTAAAGCGTTAAACAATTCAAAGTTGGGGAAAAAGAACCAAACGTACGAGGAAATGTCAAATCATTTGTGATCCAATGTGGTATATTTTGAATGGAAAAAATCCGATTATATAATTATTGCATGAACGGCTTCGAGATATAAAATGCATATAAATGTCATTTTTAGCGTTTTAATATATTTTTATTGCTATAAAACTAATAATAGAATTTGACCATTTTGATAACACGTTTTTATCGCATAGTAAAGTAAACAAAATTGTAACCTAGCAATATATTGTCTCTTCTCTTGAAGATACGATAATCAATAAAACTTCCAATGAATCAACAAAACAGTATAAAGAGAGGTGATTTGAATAGTTGCAATAAGATTTGCAGAGCAGCAGCGTATCACATATCGTCCAGTAATTAACACAAGAAAAACTCGCGCATCACTTGTACTTTACTAGGAGTAAATTTAAATTTAGACGATTGTATTCATAACGAAAATAAACAATACCTAGTGATAATTAACACAAACAAAATTAACCCGTTTGAAATTCTCAATCGTGCAACTTACAATATAAAACGCCTAAAATTTTATGTACAGCAGTATATGCAATAATGCTGTTTTGCTATTGCAATAAAATAGAAGCAATATAAATTGTCCAAACAACTAATTACTTTAATTCGATAAACATATGATTTTTTTGAACACTTTTGCCAAATTAAAGTTACTGAAGTTTCATCACAAACTGTCCAGCAGTGTTAATAACTTTACTTATTTCCAATTATCTTGTTTCTTAGAAGCTCCACAAACACATTGAGCCATATATCTTTTGTAACCAGTTTTATTCAGTTATCAGAACTGGGAGTTCCAGACTTAATGGAGAAATGTAATGTCTATAAAGAAAAATTGTAATAAAATAAAACATTATTTAAACGACGCACATAACTCTGTTAATAAACAGGAATGACTAGAGTTTTAATATTCGAGCGTATTTTTTTTTAATGAATCAAGTTTTGTATAAAACGATGGTCGTATCTGTACTGGCGTTAGGTTGTAAAACGATCTTGGTGCGTTCGCTACTTTGCGTGTTATATTTATTTGTTAAATAAATATTTAGTAGAAAAATGAGGAAAGAAATTACAGTTTTATTCGTGTTGTTAGCGGTTTACAATTGCGAGGCGGCTATAGGGGATTTATTCACAATACCTCAGAAAATATTTACGGCTTTCACGGACGTTTTTACTGGTGGCCAGGACCCGGCACAAAGTCAAAACCAGAGAGGAG